GGTAGACAGAGAACAAAGGTTGTGTCAATCCAGTGCCTTATTGTTATTTTATGGTGTTTGTTATTTCCATTAAATATCCTCTACTGAACCACATTAGAAATAGTCAATTAAGTCCATTTTTTTGTACCTAACTTCATGGGTACCCATTCAAGTTTAGATAAAGAATACAATATGATTAATCATATATATTCTGTCTCTTCCCTTCACTGTCTTTATTGGTCAAATCTTTATTTTTCCAGTGCTCCTAAGAGTGACTTACTTAGGGGAGAATTCCCATCTTCCCTCCTTTCTCAATAAACTCCTGTTTAAATCAGCTTCTTCTCTCTATGCTTCTATAATTTTTCTTCATGGCCCTTAATACAATGGTAATTGTAGTGTGATCTGCATATTGCATTGTTTCTTCGTGTTTCTCTTCCTCTACTGTTTATCCAGTCATAGTAAACACTCAAAGAGGGCTTTTGCTGAACACCAGGATCTTTGGGGGGTAATTTCTTTTACTGAAAAAGCAAGACTGATGAGTTCACAGCCAACCTCAGATTTCAGTGGCCAAACTGAGAGGGAAATAGGAATAAGTCACTCGATCACTTTTATTGAGGAAAATTTTTAACCTAGCCATAATTCATGCTGCGAATCTGGCCCTTTAAATTTTAAACACAGCAAATAAACACATTAGTATCACCATACATCCTTGGGAATACTATTTCTCCCATTTTATTTTCTATAACTGACCGAGAGCATCAAAATGTGTCATCCGCTTTTCTATCCAACCACTTAGGATACAAAGTGCCATTGTAAAAGAACGCATGGAGGAAAACTAAAATTGGTGGACATGTATACATTTACCTCCCTGATCCGCTTTCTCTAATGGCTACTCTGTGTTCTCTTCACCATGTACTCTGCTGCTTATATCTTTCCTGCTACCTCTTTCACAGTCTGGCTTCCTCTTGGTACTTCTCACGTTTCTGCACAGGCACACTATCCATGGGAGTGTCACGTGCGGATCTTCCGCCCATGAGGATGCAGAGCACACCACCAACCCCAGCCTGGCCCACTGAGTCACGGAAGTGCCCAGTACACATCTCCCTCCTCCCTCCCACCAGGCCTCCCTCCCTCATCCACCCATGTGTGCTGGGAAAATGTAGGCAATTACGATATTGTCCTGAGTAAACATAATTAGGACTTAAACCTTTAGAGGGAAAAAATCTACAATGATGTTTTCCAAAGCCAAATACAAATGATTTATTTAAAAGGTCTGTACTCATTTGTGAATCTGGTTTCTAGAGTTTAAAAATCTCATTTAACATTTTCATCCTGACCTAAGATGGTACTCAAAAGCCTCTTCAAAATGTTGTTCATAATTATTAACTCTCATGGCCTTGCAGAAATCAAAATACCAAGGACAAATATAAAGAAGGATAGCAAGGCAGCTATCAGTGCTTTTCCTCTAAATAGACTCTCAAATATTAAAACAAAAACATGAGTTTTGCTAGAAAATATTTAAAATCCTACCAGTAAATTTTCTTAATAGTGCTTACTACATGGCTATTGTTTATAGCCTGAGTGTAAGGCAGGGCTAAATAAATCTTTAACCTCTGTATTTCTGTACCTTCATCAATAAAATGGTAATAAGAATAATAAGAATAAGAATAATAATGCTTACATCACATATTTGCTGTAATAATTAAATGATTTTAAACACATGAAGTATTTAGGGTAGGGCCTGTCATCAACTGTGCTCAAGAATGTTGCCTGTCATTATTATTATTTATAATAATGAGAGTTCAGCCTGGCAGGCAAGACAATTATGGGCTTCAGTGTGTTTGCTCTGTGCCTAGTGTTTCTCAACTTTCATTTGTCTTAAAAACATATCTGTATAATTAATGAGTTTAGCACATGCCTGGTCCAGTTTTGGGTAGCTCAGAGATCTCTGTCTTTCCACCCAGGACCAGAGAAAACCTGGACAATAACGCTTTCTGGAGAATAGCAAAGTTTCCACCTCAGCCTAATGCCCAGATCACTTCCAAAAATATCCTAAAGTGAATGAACATATCAAGTTAATCCTGGAATATAATTTGAAATTTTTGTTAGTGCTTCTTTGGATTTTTTTTTTTGGGGGGGGTAAAATCTATAAAATGGAGGTAACTATAAAGACAAGAAACATTTATATAATGTTGTTAATCAGGCATGGATGGAAGTACTCTCTAAAGAGTGGCCTATTATTATCCCTAATTTACCAATAAGAAAACTACAGCACAGAAAGTTTAAGCCACTTTCCGAAGGCCAGACTGCTAATCAGTCAGGATTTGAAAGCAGTCAGTACTGTTAGCCACAATATTACTATAGTTTCTGCTCCCACCCCATCCCAGCTGTTAATACATTCTTCCTAAACCACAATAGTCTGGTTTTCCAAGACCAGATGTTCCAGAAGCTCCTTATAGGAGGACCAGAATGCAGTTTGTCCTATTCAGCAAAACCTAACTGCAGTTCCCATGGCGAATAGCCACGCATCTGATTTTGTCTGAGACAGCCCTAGGTTTTCCTCTCTTACTTCCCAAAGGTATCTCTCTGTTCAGTAACTTACACTGAAAGGCTGGTCTCTACTTTTATAATGCTGAACATGGAAAATTAGTCTATATTGTGTGTCTTGAATCTGCATGTGCGTATGTGTGTTTCCTCTGAAATTCTGAGTTCTTTGCTTTTAAAATGCTTTCCTTTTTTTTTGCATCTATCTTGCACAAATTTCTATCTAAAATTAAATTAGAATATTCAAGCATCACACCAGTTTCTTGGCAAGAGAGCTGAAGAGGCATGAAAGAGTAATAGGCCTTTGCACCTCAGACACAATTCTAATTAGAAATCAGTTTGTTCTTCCATTTTTATGCTTGGCTCAGGAACTGTTTTTGAGGTGGTTTTGTGCTGTGTGATTCATGATAAGATCTCTGAGAATAAAGTTCAGGGAAAACAAAGGAGAAGATGTTCACCCAGCTATAAGCTGTTGGGACAGAACAATCATAATTGTTTTCTTTGAATTATCTTAAGAGAGCAGAGGAGGAAATCTTGTGTACTTGAAAGTTTTAGGATAACTATAATATGTGACTGAGCAGGATCTCATGATTTAGAGGGCTTTTTCTACACTGATCTTTGTCAGTGACTGATACTTTCTAAGCTTCTCAATAAATATGCTGTGCATGCTTAGTTTGGGGCTCAGACAGAAAAGATATCTGAGGTCCCATGACCAATTTCACCCAGCCTTGCTGTCATTCTTCTCATGGCTCAAATCATCCTACAACAGTTCTATGAAAGACATTTGAGTATTAACTTTGTATCCAGCTATGCTACTGAGTTTGATTATTAGATCTAGAAGTCTTTTGGTAGAATTTTTAGAGTCTTCTATGTAGAGTATCATGTCTGCTGCAAATAATGATAATTTAACTTCTTTCTTTCCTATCCTTATTCCTTTCATTTCTTTCTCTTGTCTAATTGCTCTGGCTAATTTTTCTAGAGCTATGTTGATAGGAGAAATGATAGTGGACATCCTTGCCTTGTTCCTGGTTTTAGAGTGAAAGCTTTCAGATTTTGACCATTCAGTATGATGTTGGTACTTGGTGTATCATAAATAGTTATTATAAGATTGAGGTAAAGACCATATATTCCAGTTTTCTGTAGAATTTTTATCATAAATGGGTGTTGGACTTTGTCAAATGCTTTTTCTGCATCTATTGAGATGATTGCTCTTCCTCAGGGCTGCCTACAGAGGTGTCAGCCATCTCCCACTTGGCACCATGGTGGCCCTCAGAACCCTCATGAAGCCCAAGATCGTCAAAAGGAGAAACACAGATTGCTCACAATGTCTCCTCTATGAACCGCAAGGCCATCGTGGAACGAGCAGCACAGCTAGACATCCAGGTCACCAATCCCAACACCAGGCTGCACAGTGAAGAAAATGAGTAGACAGCCGGTGTTCATGTTTATTTGTGCTTCAGTAAAACCATGAAAAATGAAAAAAAAAAGATGATCATTTGATTTTTGTCTTTGGCTCTGTTAATATGGTGTATTACATTTATTGATTTGCATATGTTGAACCATCCCTGCATTCTAGGGATGAATCCTACTTGGTCATAGTGTATAATATTCTTGATGATTTGTTGCATTCTGTTTGCTAGTACCTTACAGAGGACTTCTGCATCTCTGTTCATTAAGAAGATTGGCTAGTGGCTTTCTTTGTAAGTTAGGTCCTTTTCTGGCTTTGGAACCAGGACAATACTTGCTTCCAGGAATATTTTTGGAAGTATTGCTTCGTTTTCAATTTCATTAAAGAGTTTCAGCATTAGTGACATTGGATCTTGTCTAAATTTCTTATAGCAATCCATGCACACCTATCTTTATAGCAGTATGATTTGTCATAACTAAATCTTGGAAACAACCCAAATGCCCATCAACCAAGGAAGATTTAAAAAGATGTGATATTTTTAAGCAGTGGCATACTATTTGGCCTTAAAGAAGGATAAACTTCAAACTTTTATAGGTGAATGGATGCAACTAGCGATCATACTCTTAAGTGATATAAATCAGACTCACCTGTATAAATGTCACATTGTCCCCCTGGTGTGAGAAACTAAAATAGAAATAAGGACCAAAGTGTATGATAATGTGAAATGGGAAGAAATTGTTCAAAAAGAAAGAACAACTAAGGAGGATATGGAAGAGGAGGAAAAAAAGATTTAAAAAGAATACAGTGAAAACTAAGCTTTGTAAATAGGGAGGAAAAGAGGGAATAGGGAAAATATTTCTCATAGGTACAGAGGAACAAATTCCCTATAATGAATATATATTTTTAAAAGGCATTTGAATGTACCTTTGCCTAAACACACTTGTTAGTCACTTTCCTTTTGTTTCCTTTTGCTTTATGATCACTAAATTGACATACTTGCTTCGACGTTAAAAGAAGGACACCCTGTTTTTCGTTCGTGAGTCCTGAGGGTTGACCTCAGTTTCTGCACCTGGAGCATGCACATGGGAACAAACTGTGGTCTCCCCTGCTAAAAGTTTACTCCTTATCATGGCTCGGTTGCCCTGGATGCTTCTCAGTTTTATGAAGTTGGCTTGTCTGTCCTCCATCTAAGAAAAGAGAGAAGAAACATTTACGTGTCTTTTATTGGCCTTCTGGGTATCTTTGGGCTGCTTATCATTGTTTTGAAAATGAGGTGACTCTCCTGTTACTGATTGTAATTACATATCTGACTGGAATGTCCTTTGTACCTTGTCCCTCTGGTGGAATCTTACCCATCCACATTAACTGTCTTCTCTCCCATGAATGCTCTAGACAGGATTAATTACCACACCATCTGTGGAACAGCAATTTTATTTATCCTGTATGATAATTTTTACTTTCATCTGTCATTTTTATATCATGGCCTAAACCAAAAAACAAGACCTATATTTATGTTACTCTCTTAACCTGTCCCAAAGTCTAATATATATGTGCTTAATAAATGTTTGATGAACAGCACCTTATAGCATACACAGCTGTTTTCACATGTATTAGTTCATCTTAGTTCTGTGCAAGAGAGCTATGAGGTATCTGATTACTTTGCACTTATGAAACATGAAGTGATGAACATCCCCAATGCATAGAGTGAAAAGCTAAAAAAGAAATCTCAGAATGGAAAGGATATGGAAAGAGTGGCATAGTTTTCTACAGGTTTCTAACTTATAGACTTATTTACATTACTTAAATACTTAGCCTTCAAGGACAATAAAAATAATTTTCACTAATGAACTATTTGACCTAACATTTTTTCTAGTGTCAGAAGAGGCCTTCTGTAAATAAATATTTTCTTTTTCTTCCCATTGCCAAAGTAAGAGAGCCACTGTGGGCCTCATCTGCATAAACTTCACCTGCTACAACAGTGGAGGACCTGGACAAGACTTCCAGTGTTTTGTAAGTTAAGGGAGACAAACTCTGAAACTGCCCAGATTCTTCATAGCAGCCCACCAGAAAATAGCTAGAACAATGTAAGTAGAATGGCGCTCATGTTCTCATGCACGACCTGAACCCATTTACCCCAAATCATCTTATTGTTTTAAAGAAACTGGGATAAAAGAAAAAAAATTAACTGAAATAAAATTTCATTGACACTTAACCTCTGAAAAAGAAGCAATGCATGTATTCTTTTCCCTATGCTACTAAAAAGATTTAATTAAATATACAGGCAAAAGAAACACAATCAACAAATTGAAGCTGAAGCACAATGTGACAGAGTAAGAAGAGTTCCACAGTTAGGCAAGCAAGAGTGACTTATTCTTTAACCAGCATTTATTAAGCAGCTATTATTCACCAGGCAGCATTACATATCAGAGACTCAGTAATAGAAGAAACAGATGTGGTCCTTGTCTCACAAAACTTTCAGTCTCACAAGAAAGCCAGATTTTGCATACATAACTACAATAACATGAAATGCCCAGTTTCAGAAGAGTCAAGGGAGCCCTGTAAAAGGGATACTTCAGCTGATACTGATGGATAAATAAGTTTGTTGGATAACAGAGAGTAAGGAAGATGGAAAAATGAGGAAGAGGTCTTCAGGGAGAGACACATAAAAAGTTCAATGACAGTGACTGCAGCATGTTCCACTAAGCATCTTGCTACAGTGACTTGGTGGCCCTGGCTGACATCAATGAATATAATCCAAAGGCTTGGGAAAGTATGTGTACATTGGAGATCATTCTCTCTTACCACATTTGAAATCCTGAGATTACCACGTAGATGAGTCTAAGATGGCCTGATGAAGGATGGAGGATCACGTGAGTTTAGGCACCTCAGCCCAAAGCCACCCAGCTCATTGACAACCTGCCCACCATGAGACCTGAGTAAGGCCACGATAGCTCTTTAAGCTACCACCCACAGACACAAGAGAAAGTGCAGCAATGATTAGTTGATTGGGACCAGACCCAAAGCAATACCCAGCCGACCCCATGAACTTGTGGTTAAGCCAAATGATTGATGCTGAAACCACTAACTACTAAACTGCAGAAAGCTTTATGTTATGCAGCAAATATTAACAAATGTATGTGGCAAGAGATGATGGTTGCCCGATCTAGCCAGTTAGCAGTGAGGACAGGCAAAAAGTGGGTGTTTCTATCAGAAGAGCACTGTGGTTTTTTTATTTGGGTCAATAGATGGAAGGTTATTTCTACTTACTAAGCTCAAGGATAGTAGAGGAGAAAAACATAAGGGAAAAATGATGTAATGAGTGCAACTGAGAATAGGTAGAAGTTGAGATGGTAGAGAAACTGCTGAGCAGTAACCTCAAGCATATCATCAGATTGATGAGCAAACAACATAGGAGAAATGTCTGGGCTGCAGACAGAGACCTTCGACTTGTTGATGTAGACATGGCGATTGAAGGCACCATAAATACACTTTCCTAAGCATAAAAAGCAGGGTGAAAAGTCTAGAGGGCTGTGATAATTGCTATTCATGTAGTTTTGAGCAAGTTATTCAACATCTCTGAGCCTGTTTTTCCATCTGTAAAATGATGAAATGTTAACAGTCTTACAGATATGTAGCAGAGATGAAACAAAATTTATTTTGCTTCCACCATCTGACAGATATTGAGACCTAAAATTGCTAGCTCTCCCATCTTTTTCATTCAAATTACACAAAAATATTTTAGACTAGACTGCTCTCTGTTTCCTATTATTAAAATCTGGATTAGAGATAGGCTTTAATTATAAGCAATAAGAAGGCCACATTCATTATTCTATTTGAAATATTAAAGTTTCTTAAATAGCAAGCATCAGAATTTTCTGTGGTGATTTAATAGCATGCACGTTCCTTAGCTTCACCTTAGACCTTCTTAACAAGAAATTTTGGAATGTACAAAGACCTACATTTTTAATAAACGTCCAACATGATTTCTTTGCACTCTAAAAGTACATAAGTAGATTATTTCCCCATGGTTCCTTAGTATAAAAACAACCAGAATTGAAATTTGCTAGACATCCTGTGGGGCTGGCACACAAATGATCACATCCTAATCATCAACACCACTCTACTATGACATTAATTCTGTACTTCCAACACTAACACGACCACCTGATAGAACCACCCGTGTTCTTCCTGCCCATTTGACTGACCTCCTAGAAATGGAAATTTTCACTTCATCCCATACTACCCCGATGACCACCTCATTGCATTTCTATGTTATAATTTGATCCAGGCCAAAATCCCAAAGATTCTTTCTCCCAACACACAGCATGCTTGATCTCTTCCTCCTGGAATCCTGCCTCATCACTCAGGAAGCCGTGTGTTTTAAAACACAGTTACACACACTACATGGCATCAGACTCCTGAAATCAGTTCCTGATTAAGAACAAATATTGTCTCCCAGCTGCTAGGAAAGTTCAAAGACTTGAAGCTGATTGCAGAAAGAAAATAGGTCCAATCTGTTCCGTTCTGCAAAATGTCAATAGAGACGGTTATGCAAGTACGTCTGATACTTTTTTTCTACAAAAATTACAGAGTAGAATGGAAACAAGGATTAATAAAAATCTACATTTCAGGAAAATTTAAAAATGGCAAATGATTGAGTCGAACCTCTACAGGTGGCTACTTGCCACAGCATCAGTGAGAAGTTCACCTACCAAGGGAGAGATGCCCCTTGCACCCATTTTCTAGAGAAAGTGCTCTGTAATCAAAGGGTCGCTTTTCTAGGCACATATTTCTGGGAAACTTTTTGTTTTATAACACTTGAGATCAGGAACTCAGGTCCATAAATATACTGTGTCTGTCTTTCCAAGAGCAATTTGCCTATTCTCAGCAGCAGGAACAGAAAAGAAACAATAAGTAGCACGTGTTCTAAAATAGCATTAAAGGCCTATGTTTAAAATATCTTTAATCTGTTCAGTAGCACCACATGCCTGCTTCCAATGCCTCTCCTTCCCATCACTCGGTCTCCATTCCCTCCTCCATGGAGCTGCAAAGGGCTGAATCACTGCTTTTGAAACAAAAGAAAGCTAATCCTTCTCTGAACAAAATCATGGAGAAAATGCAAAACATCTGATCGCTATGTTCCTATTATAGATTTCTGCTAGGGCACTGTGAAGTATTTATTTTCAGCTAATGCTTTACCAGCAGGTTGTTGGTCTATTTCCATTTGAGTATTGCAGACCCCATGCCCTTGCAAAAATGTATTCTGCGTCCTTAACCTACTTCACCCCAAGCAGAGCACACTGAGAAGCAGGCTCACCCCCAAAGGATTGTGTATTTTTCCAATCTTCATCCTCCTGTGCACAACATGTGGAAAATCAAAGGGCTTTTTTAAATTGTCTTTCTGTAAAGGAAATTAACATATACATGCTTATTTTTCTCAATTAGAAGAGGAAACTGTTCATTAGACAAGGATAGAAAATGCGCCCACAGCCACTGGCTTGTTTTGAAACTATAAATGTCATTGTCATTGTGCAGAAATGCTGATGTCAATTGACAAAGGGCACCTCAAAAAATCTATTAAGGGCCACAGTTTCCATCTCAAGGGAACCTTTATTTGAAAAAGCAAGGAAAAGGAGATTGTATATGTCACTCCTTTTAAAAATTTCTCTCCCTTGTGCCTAACTTAAATCTAATTGAAGTACAGGTTTTCAGGGGTCTCTGCTGGCTAAGGATCTCAAAAGTTAAGGATTAAAGAAAAATGAGTTATTCTCCAATCCCAAAAATTAAATTAATCTCATCAATTCAATTAACTCTGCTGTTCAAGACATTGCTTGATGAAAAGATTCAAATACAATATGTTTAGAACATTGTAAGTCTTATGGGAAATCTGAAGCTATAAAATTAATGGAAACATACAAGATTAAGTAGCTAATAATTTTAAAACTGATTGTGAACCTGCAGTGGCAAGCAGAAGCACCAAAATGACACCCAAGATTTGGACCTAGATTTATTTACATCAATAGGCAATGATCAGGATGACTCTCAAAACACCTGGCCTAGATCTCTGGTGGTTGATAGTGTATACCGGATAAGCAAGCAGAAGGTACAGAGGCAGCATGACTTGTCAACTGGGAATTGGTTTCTACAATGTGTGACACAGTGACTCCTATGCATCACAGTGACCTGC